GGACCAATGCTGTATGTGTGGTCTGTAATTGACTAAAACTTTGTTATGCAGCTCATAACTAATGAGAAGACATCTTGTGTTGATGAGTTGGAAGAATTAATATTATAAAGATGGCAGTACTCCATAAATTGAGCTACAGATTAAATGCAATCCCCATTAAAATTCCAAAGGCATGTTTTGCATAAATTAACAAGCTGATCCTAAAATTCATGTGGAATTGAAAGGGATCCTTAAGAACTAAATCCATCTTGGAAAAAAACAAAGTTGGAGTACTCCTACTTTCTTATTGTGATGCCTGCTACAAAGCTACAGCACTGGCACATGGACCAAGGAAACAGAAGTGAGAGTCCAGAAATAAACCTATAAATCTATGGCAATTAATTTTCAACAAGAGTGTCAAGACCATTCGACGAGGGAAGAACAGTCTCTTCAACAAATAGTGCTGGAACAACTGGATATCTATCTGCAAAATAATTAAGCTGGAGTCCCAACCTCATACCATTATTTAAAAATAAACTCAAAATGGATCAATAACTTAAATATAAGAACTAAGACCATAAAATAGGGTAAGTCTTTAAGATTAGATTTTAAAACATAGGGGTAAACTTTATGACACTGGATTTGGCAATGTATTTTTATTTTTATTTATTTATTTATTTTTTTGAGACAGAGTTTCGCGCTGTCACCCAGGCTAGAGTGCAGTGGCGCGATCTCAACTCACTGCAAGCTGTGCCTCCCGGGTTCACGCCATTCTCCTGCCTCAGCCTCCCGAGTAGCTGGGACTACAGGCACCCGCCACCACATCCAGCTAATTTTTTGTATTTTTAGTAGAGGCGGGGTTTCACCGTGTTAGCCAGGATGGTCTCGCTCTCCTGACCTCGTGATCCACCCGCCTCAGCCTCCCAAAGTGCTGGGATTACAGGCGTGAGCCACTGCACCCAGCTGCAATGTATTTTTAAATGAAACCAAAAGCATGATCTACAACAATTTTTAGATTATATAAATTGGGCTTCAAAATTAAAAACTTTAACATTATTAAGAAACTGAAAAGGCTACAGAATAGGAGAAAATATTTGCATATCACCTATCTAGTAAGAGTTTAGTGTCCTGAATATATATTAAAAAAAACTCCTACAACTCATTAACAATGAGACAAACAACCTGATTTTAAAATGGACAAATGCTTTGGGAGTTTGAGGCAGGAGGATCACTTGAGGCCAGGAGTTTAACACCAGCCTGGGCAACATATGGAGACCTTATCTCTATTAGCCAGAGTCATGATGGGTGTCCTGAAGACCACTGGCCTTGTGGGATTGGCTGTATGCGAGAGTCCACAAGAGAGGCTAAGAAAATTGTACACGAAGATTTTTTATGTTCTTGAGCAAATCCCTAAAAATGCAGCATACAGAAAGTATACAGAAGAGATTACAAATGAGAAGTTGGCTATGGTTAAAGCGGAACCAGATGTTAAAAAATCAGAAGAACAGCCGGGCGCAGTGGCTCACTACTGTAATCTCAGCACATTGGGAGGCTGAAGCAGGCAGACCAGCCTGACCAACATGCTAAAACCCTGTCTCTACTAAAAATAGAAAACTTAGCCGGGCATGGTGGTGCAGGCGTGTAGTCCCAGCTACTCGGGAGGCTGAGGCAGGAGAATCACTTAAACCCGGGAGGTGGAGGTTGCAGTGAGCCGAGATCATGCTACTGCACTTCAGCCTGGGCAACAGAGTGAGACTCTGTCTCAAAAATAAATAATTAAATAAATAAAAATTTTAAAAACTCAGAAGACCAACTTCAAGGTGGTCAAATAGAAGAGGTGATTCTGCAGGCTGAAAATGAACTAAGTCTGGCCAGAAAAATGATGCAATGGAAACGATGGGAGAGACTCCTGCCAATCAGTAGAAATGGCCAATATAATTATTAAATGACTTTGGAAGGTTGATGGGAAACTGATGTAATTAAATATTCTGTTATATTAAAAGTGTGAGCCAGGCACAGTGGCTCACACTTGTAATCCCAGCACTTCAGGAGGACGAGACGGGTGGATTACCTGAGGTCGGGAGTTCGAAACCAGCCTGACCAACATGGAAAAACCCCGTCTTTACTAAAAATACAAAAATTAGCCGGGCGTGTTGGTGCATGCCTGTAATCCCAGCTACTCGGAGGCTGAGGCAGAATAATTGCTTGAACCTGGGAGGCAGAGGTTGAGGTGAGCTGAGATAGCGCCATTGCACTCCAGCCTGGGCAACAAGAGCGAAACTCAGTCTCAGAAAAAAAAGAAAAAAAGTGTGTGGACCTGGTGTAGTGGCTGATACCTGTAATCCCAGCATCTTGGGAGGCCAAGGCAGGAGGATCATTTGAGGTCAGGAGTTTGAGACCATCCTGGCCAACATGGTGAAACCCCATCTCTACTAAAAATACAAAATTCAGCCGGGCATGGTGGCACACACCTGTAATCCCAGCAGCTACTCAGGAGGCTGAAGTGGGAGAATCGCTTGAACCTGGGAAGCAGAGGTTGCAGTGAGCCGATATTGTGCCACTGCACTCCAGCCTGGGCAACACAGCAAGACTCCGTCTCAAAAAAAAAAAAAGGCAAAGAACCCTTGTGTACTGTTGGTGGGATTGTAAATTGGTACAGTCACATGTAAAAGAGTATAGAGGTTCCTCAAAAAATTAAAAATAGAACTACTACATGATCCAGCAGTCCCACTTCTGGATATCCCAAATAATTGAAAACAGGGTCTGTCTCTAAGATATATTTGCACACCTATGTTCATATCAGCATTATTTACAGTAGCCAAGAGGTGGAAACAACCAAAATGTCCAATGACAGATGAACGGTTAAACAAAATGTAGTATCTACATGCAACAGAGTATTATTCAGCCTTAAAAGCGAAGGAAATCCTGTCACATGCTATAACACGGATGAACCTTGAGACCATTATGTTAAATGACATAAGCCAGTCACAAAAAGACAACTACCGTTTGATTCCATTTATATGAGATACTTAGTCAAAATCATAGAGACAGAAAGTAGAATGGTTACCAAAAGCTGTGGGTAGGGGCAAAGGAGTTACTTAATGAGTATGAAGTTCACGTTTTGCAAGATGAAAAAGTTCTGGAGATCTATTTTATAACAATGTTAATATATTTAACATTACTGAAGTGTACACTTCAAAATGGTGTCAGGGTTTGAAGACAGGGTGTCATTATGTTTGCCCGGGCTGATCTCAAACTCCTGGCCTCAGGAGATCCTCCCATCTCAGCGTCCTAAAGCATTTGGATTACCAGTGTGAGCCACTGAGTTTGGCCACCCTAAAATATTTTTAAAGGGAAAAACAAACAAAAAAACCTAGCCCATAGTTCTAGACTTTGTCTTTGCCTCACATTAATTTACTCCCACTACTTCAATAAAAATAATTAGGGCAAAAAAAACAGGGAGAGTTAAGAGCTTATACAGACATTTCTCTAAAGAAGATATACAAGCGGCCAACAAACACATTAAAACATGCTCAACATCATTAGTCATTAGGGAAATACAAATCGAAACCACTATGAGTCGCAGCTACTCCAGAGGCTGAGGCAGGAGGATGCTGCAGGCCAAGAGTTCCAGACCAATAGGATCTCGCTTTGACCCTGTCTCTACAATACATTTTTTAAAAATTAAAAAAAAAAAAAAGTGTTGGCCATGATTTTGATAAACTGCGGTCCTCATACATTGCTGGTGGGAATGTAAAATGGTTCAGCTGCTGTGAAATAGTTTCCGTTTCTCCCTGAGTTGAGAATAAAATTACTGTATGACCCAGCAATTTCACTCTTAGGTATATACCTAAAATAACTGAAAACAAGTACTCATACATAGAAGAACTATTTACAATAGTTACAAGGTAGAAACAACCCATATGTCTATTAATGGATGAATGGATAAACAAATTGCAGTCTATACCTACACTAGCATATTGAGCCATAAAAGGGATGACATACTGATACATGCTACGACTCAAAAGATTAGTAAGACAGACACAAACGGTCAATATTGTATGATTCCATTTTCGTGAAATAGGTACATCCACCGAGACAGGACACAGATTGGTGGTTGCCAGGGCCTGGTGGAAATGGGGAAGGGGGAGCAACCGCTTAACGGGGCACAGCGTTTTGTTTTAGGATGATGAAAATGTTTTGGAACTGTATCGATAGAGATGCTGGTTGTACAGCATTGTGAATGTACTAAATGCCACTGAATTGTTCACTTTAAAAATGACTGGTTATGTCAATTTCACCTTAACAAAAAAATTACATACAGTACTCAGATTTTAAAAAGCATCATTTCACCAAGATTCCACGAATTAATGTGAGATGATCAAAGCGGATTCAGTAGAATCGTTCAACTTCGAACGTGAAACAGTCCTAAACTCAAACCTTTGTGACACTAAAGTGGGAAGATGGTATGTGATAATTTTAGAAAGTAAACATTATTCTTGTTTACTTCGTTTGGAACTCGAACTTTTTTTATTTTGAGGCGGAGTCTCCCTCTGTCGCCTAGGCTGCAGTGCAGTGGTGCGATATGGGCTCACTGCAACCTCCGCCTCTCGGGCTCAAGCGATTGTCGTGCCTCAGCCTCCCTAGTAGCTGGAACTACAGTCGCCCGCCCCCCACCACGCGCGGCTAATTTATTTATTTTTATTAGAGACAGAGTTTCGCCATGTTGGCCAGGCTGGTCTCGAACTCCTGACCTAAATTAATCCGCCCGCCTCAGCCTCCCAAAGTGTTGGGATTACAGGCGTGAGCCACCCAGCTCCAAAACCCAGGGAGCGTGGAAAAGACAAGACAGGGAAGGGGCTAACCCTCAGAATTACACGTGGGCTCGCCTTACCAGACCACCACTGCTGGCATAACCTCACACCCACTGGCAACCAACTTCACCTCCCAGACCCTGATTCAACTCGACCCCGGAAGTGCCGCCCACCCGTGCTTACTTCCGCTGTCCCGTACTTCTGCTCATCTCGCGAGAACTGAAAGCGCCTATGAGACTTGCGCTAAGCGGAAGTTGGTCCTCTTTTCCGTGGCGCCTCGGAGGCGTTCAGCTGCTTCAAGATGAAGGTAGGTGGTGGTGGCGAGTGTTAGACTGGTTTGGGGAACGTGAATCGAGTCCCAGAACGCGGCATTGCCTCATTTCCAGCACTGCAAGATCCTGGCTTTAGGTGGAGAAGGGTCTCAAGTAGGAGAAGGCTCGCTTTTCTGGGGCATGGAGCTTTTTGGCCGAGCGGATGGCAGGCGATTGCGGCTGGAGCCGCGGCGGGCCGGGAGCGCCATGGTGGCGTCCCGGCGTGTTGCCCATTTTGCGGCAGGCCTGTGGTGCGGCTCTTGACCCCGGCTTTCTTGCTTCGGGAGGGTGAACGGCTGCGGAGCGCCCTCGCCCCCAGAGTCATTCTGCGGGGCTTGAGGGGAATACGTCCTCCTGAGTGCGGCGCTTCTTGACTGCTACTCTGCTTTCACGTGCTTTTAGTGAGTACGGTCGGCATCTCATATTTCCTGCTTGTGTGGAGGCAACATGAAAGGCTTTTTGCAGTGGAATTAACTTTGTGGATGGCTCTACAATTACCTGTGTAGGTAGTTCCGTAAACTATTTCCCTCCCTTTTAATCCTTAGCTGAACATCTCCTTCCCAGCCACTGGCTGCCAGAAACTCATTGAAGTGGACGATGAACGCAAACTTCGTACTTTTTATGAGAAGCGTATGGCCACAGAAGTTGCTGCTGACGCTCTGGGTGAAGAATGGAAGGTAAAAGTTAACAATCAAATTGTTGCAGCTATTGAAGTCAGAGACGGTAAACGCCATTGGTAATTGGTATTTGGAATGGGGTTCAGACTGCGGGTTCTGGCTTCTGACCTTTGGTAAGTTGCTTCCGAATGCCACTTTATGAAGTTGAGCTGTTACCTTGGAGGGGAGACATAGGGTAAGCCGTAAAATATACGTAAAGTTTACATCAACGTAATTCTTGCCAAGCATCATGCATTCGGCAGATGTCACATAGCTGTCCTCATAATCCCCAAAGTGCGAAGACGCATTGTATCTGATTTGTTTGTTGCTCTTTGATATTTTATCTTCCTAGTGCTGTTTCTAATAAAACATCGGTTAGAAATGCGACTTGAATGAAAGACATCTGATAATTGAACTTGATAAGTTGGGAATGTAGACAAAACTTACTGATCAGAGAAAACGTGCTTAAGTTTTAAGTTTAAATTGGTTTTCATAATGAATTATCCTTTCTCATATAGGTGTGGTTCACAGAGGTCACAATCCTGTATTGTATAATTTTGGAATAGAAATAGTAAATGTGTCATTCATTGTATGCTCTTGCAGGGTTATGTGGTCCGAATCAGTGGTGGGAACGACAAACAAGGTTTCCCCATGAAGCAGGGTGTCTTGACCCATGGCCGTGTCCGCCTGCTACTGAGTAAGGGGCATTCCTGTTACAGACCAAGGAGAACGGGAGAAAGAAAGAGAAAATCAGTTCGTGGTTGCATTGTGGATGCCAATCTGAGCGTTCTCAACTTGGTTATTGTAAAAAAAGGTGAGGGTTACTTGTGTTCAATTTTCATTGAAATTGATGTAAAGCCAGTTGTCCAAATGCTTATTCATTTGCAGTATCCAGTGGATTTCTTTACCATCAATTCAACATTAAATATTTTGATTTAGGATTCTTAAGGAAGTTGTTGAATTAAAATCTTTTCAATTGTGTCTTCTAAGGAGAGAAGGATATTCCTGGACTGACTGATACTACAGTGCCTCGCCGCCTGGGCCCCAAAAGAGCTAGCAGAATCCGCAAACTTTTCAATCTCTCTAAAGAAGATGACGTCCGCCAGTATGTTGTAAGAAAGCCCTTAAACAAAGAAGGTAGGAGGGATTATGCAATTAGGGCTTGCTTAATTTTGGTGATTTGTCAATATCATTTTGTGTGCATATCAGAAGATAAAAATGTGCCTTTGGAGCCTCAGCATTCTTCACCTGGAGTCTGAATTTTTACAAAAAATATTTGGGGGTGGCCAGCATACCCAGTTGGTATTAATCCTTGCTTATTATATCCAGTGCCTTGTAGAGTGCAGTAATTTCCTTGAAAATCTGCCTGTGAATCTTTGATGTATACATTTATCCAAAACTAACCTGACTTTAAGGTCATTGCTTTCTGGTTTAGGAGTCACATGCTTGAGAATTCTGGAACTATTATCCCACCACCACACACTTTGTAATTTTACATCAGATGTTCTAAATTATTACTGTTAATATTTTTTAAGAGATGAGGTCACACTATGTTGCCCAGGCTGGTCTAGAACCCTTGAGCTCAAGTGATCCTCCCATCTTGGCCTCCCAAAGTGCTGGGATTACAGGCCACCACACCCAACCCTAAATTATTTTTTGGCTTACTAAAGAAGTTGCTTTAAACTTTTTTTTCATCTGTAGGATATGGATAACAATTGTTAAGAGTTGTAAGAATTAGAAGTTAGAGACCTTAGAATACTAGGAAGCGGGAGTTAGGGATTTTGGAGCTTTACCTTTTAAGAACTTGTGTCAATACATTAGACAATATACCAGTGAGGACCTCAAATGACAATATTTCTGTAGTGAAATTTGGGAATGTTCATGTTAAATAAAATAAACAGCATGTCAGTCAAGGTTGGGTTTCTGACAAAATCTGAAAGAATTTCTCTGGATTTTGTTTTTTCAGGACTGCTGTGACTTAACACCTCTACATGGCATATATAGTACATGTCTGTTAAGTCAGTAATTACAATTATTTGTGCACCAGGTACTGTTCAAGGTGCTGAGAATACAGCATAGACAAATTCCTACCTTAATGAAGCTGACATTGCAAAAAAAAAAGAAAGAAAAGCAATTGACAAATAGGTGGCAGTTGCCGATAATCACAGCCCTGGAAATAATCAGAATAATAAAAGCGTGGTGTGGTTGATGGGTATTTTTAGATGGTTCCTGTGTTTATAGTAGGAGTCTGAAATATTAGCAGAACCTGAACATCTGAGCATTTAGCCTAAGGCAATTAAACTCCCACGAGTGTTCATGAAACGGCCTGTGCTCCAATGCAAATCTACAGTCTGAGCAGTTTTGGAGTACAGATCAGATTAATGAAGATACTTTTAACAACATGTCACATAATCTGATGTTAATTGTTACGTTACCCCTGAATTGGCAGGAATTGTCAAGGGAAATAGAGATGCAAGCTTACATCAAACTTACACTTAAAAGTATGGCAGGATGATTATGTAAATAGTATGTTAAGTGGTTTTCACAGACAAATTGACTATGCAGAGTTATATTTTAACATAATGCCACTGTATTTTAGTAAAACTGGAAGGTAGTAAAGGTTAGCTTGGTTATTTTTCAGCACTTGGTTTCCCTTATATTTTTATAATATTTAACCCATCTCCTAGATTTCTGTGGAGGGGCAAAAAGTATTTTAAAATACTTCTGATTTGATTTTAAAGGCCTCAATACAGGTTTTCATAGATGCTGTTGATGAAGCTTACGTTCATTTCTGATGTTTTTAAAGTAGATGTGGATTCTAACAAAACAGTTGAAATGATTGAGTCCTTTGAATTTTTAGGTAAGAAACCTAGGACCAAAGCACCCAAGATTCAGCGTCTTGTTACTCCACGTGTCCTGCAGCACAAACGGCGGCGTATTGCTCTGAAGAAGCAGCGTACTAAGAAAAACAAGGAAGAGGCTGCAGAATATGCTAAACTTTTGGCCAAAAGAATGAAGGTTAGTGTAAGATGATTTGAGGGGGTGGGAGGAGTTCGACCTGGCTTTGGATTTGCATCTTTACCCCAGAAAGGCCTTAACTATATGCTGTTTTTTGTTTTGTTTAGGAGGCTAAGGAGAAGCGCCAGGAACAAATTGCAAAGAGACGCAGACTTTCCTCTCTGCGAGCTTCTACTTCTAAGTCTGAATCCAGTCAGAAATAAGATTTTTTGAGTAACAAATAAATAAGATCAGACTCGGATCTCTGTTGACTTTTCATTGCTTGACAGAAAACTACATAAATGAAGAGGGGAAAGTTGGTCATAGAAAATGGGGATATGTATATGGTAATCCAATGGTGGATAAAATCAGACCTATTGTGTGGTAGTGGAAGACAAGGTCAATGTAAAGGGGTTCTTTTTGGGGGGTGGGTAGCACAGGAAGGGATTCTGAGCATAAGACATCTGCCTCTTCAGAATGGCATTGAACTTAGGGGAAATGATGAGGACTATTAATCTTTTTCATATAGTTTATTTTGAGGAATATAGCTCTTTAAAACACTATACACAATTTAATACATGAAAATTGACCATGTGAAGATGAACATGTCTTCTTTTTTGAAGAAAAGGTAACTTTTAAGGCATAGTTTTAGTGGATACCATCTTAAAATGAAGTTTTTAAAACCATTTCAAATTTGCTTTAACAGAGTTTTTCAACTCCAGTGAATTGTTAGGCTGTTTCACACACTGAAAAGGAAATGACTAAAAACATTCTTGGATCAGTGAAAAATGCACAAAGCATGTATTTTTTTCTAATAGTTTCTGTTCTAACTATCCTGACAATATCAGGACCTTGACAAGAAGGCACATTAGGCTTTAAGGTTGAAGCAATGCAAGCTCTTTGTTGGAACTACTGTAATAGCTTTATAAAGCAGAGTACTAAATGTTAAATGTACATGTTAATCACCTAGGGGTCTGGTTAAGGCGCAGATAGTGATAGAGGAGTGGGGACCCACATTTTCACATTACTAAAAAGCTCCCAGGTGTGAAGTCAGTAATGCCAGTCCCTGGATGCCTGCTACATGGTGTTAAAAAGCTACATAACATGAATCTTAGCTGGTGATTAGTAGTATGCAGAACTTAAAAGGCAAAGGGGATCGCCAGGTGGGGAGGCCAAGGCAGGTGGATCACCTGAGGTCAGGAGTTAAAGACCAGCCTGGCCAACATGGTGAAACCCCATCTCGACTAAAATACAAGAAAATTAGGCACCGGCGCCTGTAATTCCAGCTACTTGGGAGGCTGAGGCAGGAGAATAACTTGAACCAGGGAGGTTGAGGTTTCGGTGAGCCAAGATCACGCTGTTGTACTCCAGTCTGGGTGACAGAGCAAGACTCCCTCAGAAAAAAAAAAGCAAAGAGAAATTTAGCATTTTACCTGAAGCTAAAAGGACTGAAACAACCACAGAGAGGAACTTAAGAGCCACAAGGTGAGTCTGGTATACGGTCCAAAGTTTTGTATTAACCAGTTCTTGGTTGACTGTGATGCACAAAACATGAGAACCGCCCTGCTTTCTGAAAATCGAGTGCAGCCACAAAATGAGGACAGTCTGTTTCTCCTTAAGACTTTTTTTTTCCTTTGAGACAGGGTTTCACTCCTATGCCCAGGCTGAAGAGCAGTGGTATGGCTCACTGCAGCCTTGACCTCTTGGGGACTACAGGTGTGCACTGTCGTACCTGGCTTGTTTTTGTGCTTTTTGTAGAGTTTTGCTATGTTGCCCAGACTACTCCTGAACTGGGCTCAAGTGATCTGCCTGCCTTGGCATGCCAAAGTGTTGGGATTACTACAGGCATGAGCCACCATACCCAGTTCTCCAGAGACAGATGCAAGTCATTCTGACATGTCATTACTATGCAGGTTGTGATCAACCTATACAATTCATTCGTTGGAAGAAAAAACAACTGCTATCAAACCCCAAAGCAATGTAAGGTACTGCTAAGTAATCTGGACTAATTTTAAAGATTGCTTTTAGAAGTTGTCAGGATTAAAGTAGCATACAGTGCTACAAGTCATTCTGGGTACTTCTAAATCTTTCCATAGTAATGTTTTTTTCTTGTAAATTTTTAGTGGTACCCTATCTGCGGTGGGTATTGGAAAAAGCCTTTAAGAATTTACAACAAGAAATCAGTCCCAATATCTAAGTGGCAGCAGCAGGCTAAAGTTTTCAAGGTATGATTGCTAAAGTTATTAGAAAGTTTGTAATTTGATATAGCCATATATTCTTAAACATGTGAAGAGATCTTTACAGAATTTTTTTAATGGGAAGTGCTTCAGTAAGTGAAAGTTTAGTTCAAGTTACGAAGACTCCAGTGAAGAAATGGAAAAAGCAAAAGTATTGGAATTCTAAAGATTACAGATTTCAGGAGGCTTAATGTAACAAAACACAACGAACTTAAGAATTTTTCATTTTATTCAAGCTCAATTTTTATATGCAAGGTAATTCAAAACTTCTGTTGGGTCAGTAAGTATTAAGTATTAAAACTAGTACCAAGTCTTGAGTTGCAAAAATATATACTCTGAGACAGTGCAAAAGATCCATTAAAGGTAATGAAAATTGTACATAATTTCTGACAAGTTGTTTAATTTAGCATTTTCACAATAAATTCACACTAGAATTCTGCATAGGTCAGATTAACCCTGAAATGTTGAAAGACTGGTACAATAACTACAATTTGTAAATGGTTACATCAGGTAGAAGGGAGTTAGGCTGTTACTGTACCATATGGAAGTAATTTTACTGTGTCAACTCATTTAGCCATCTGCATAATTACTGTAAACACTCACAAAACCACTGGCTTTTTAAACCATGCAGAGAGTTAAGGCAAACTTACTGTTCCTAAGGGATATTTTTAATAAAGGCATGATAAATGTCAAAGTGAGGCATGTGAGATCATGATTTTCTTAAACCTACTGACAACAAGCTTAATAAATTTACAGTTTTAAGACTTAATTGATTCAACCTAAAAAAAACCAGTATTTACAAATGCACATTTTTACTCACAAGCATACAAATCTAAATATTATACAAGAATAAAACTTCTGTGTGCAGTGCAAGTTTATCCCACAGGTTTTAAAAAGTGATCGATACCAACAAGGTATATGCCTGAACAAAGATTTTATGTTTAATGACATACACTTTAGCATTTTAAGCATGTTCCAATGAATTTCATAAATTATTAGGCAGCTGATTTAATTTCATTTTAACTGATGATTGATTCATTTGTTCCAATTTTAAAACTATTGCAAATTAAGATATGGGAAGAGGATGGAAGTCACTGGATAATCAAGATAAAATCCATTAAGCAAGATAATACATAATATGAAAAGTGTATTATGTTGGTGCAAAAATAATAGTTGCCATTAATAGTGGCAAAAACTACAATTTTGCCCCAACCTAATGCATTAAAGTCAGGGAAGGCAGCTGTCATCAGATTTTCAGGTAATTTTAAGATTAATGACTACATACAAGTTCAGTAGTAGTCATTCATTTAATAATCAGAAAATTTCAGAAAATTGTATTGCAACATGCAATCTATTTTAATAAATATACACTTAGAATATGGCTGTATATACACATACCTGCACAGCCCTACACATATACACACTTACACAAATATGTTGCTTTTTTTTTTAGAGACAGTCTCACTCTGTCACCCAAGCTAGAGTTGCAGTGGCGTAATCTCCATTCACTGTAGCCTCTGCCTCCTGGGTTCAAGTGATTCTCCTGCCTCAGCCTCAGTAGCTGGGACTACAGTGGCGCGCCTAATTTTTGTATTTTTAGTAGAGACAGGGTCTCACCGTTTTGGTCAGGCTGGTCTCGAACTCCCGGCCTCAAGTGATCCACCCACCTTGCTCAGCCTCCCAAAGTGCTGGGATTATAGGCATGAGCCACCGTGCCCGGCTATGTTGCTTTTGTAATTGAGATATTTCATTTTGGAGGTTAGGCAAATTTAATTTGCCATTCCTCAAACTCAGTAACTTCAAATATAAATAATGCCTAGAATGAATATGGTTCCTCATTATTTCTATCAAACTACTACAAATACTGAGGAATCCCAAAGTAGTTTTCCACAGAGGCAGAAAAGCAGTTCAGGAGTTGAAAATCTTCAATGTTAATAAGCCCTGGGACATTTAAATGGCATTTCATATTTCGACATGATGCAGTATGAATCATAATTCATTAAATACTGTCCTCAAGAATTACTTCAATTCCATATTCACCAGTTCTTACGATTTGGGAAAAAAAACCCTTGAATGTTTCCAGATTAAATCTAATCTCCAAGCCTTGTGTGTCAAAATTCTAGTGAATCTCTATTTAAATGAGAGGCGCTCCAAAACACTTCCTGCACCACTCGACACTGGCACTTGGTGGAGCATCAATTTTCTGCAACTTTTCAAGAATCTCTGAAGACAGACTATTGTATGCAATTCCATATTCATTGTCAAATGCCTCTGAAAGAAATTTTCAAAAATGAAGTTGTAATTTGTTAAGAAAGACAACAGCCGTTCATTTCAAATTGGTATTGAGTCAAATTATATGTTTTTGAACTACATATTTAGAAGTAGAAATCTTTTAAATATTTTATACATACCAGCTACATTTTTTAAAATTACTTTTGAAAATAAAATATAAAATTTCCTTTCGTAATCTTTTATTAACCAACTTACCAATATCAATATTCTCTCTTCCTAGAGACACTAATGATAAGAAGAGGATTTCTCTGTATAAACTCCTATAAAACAAATATGTTTTAAAAGTTAATGGGCAAATAGCATTAAAATACAGATGCTTTTTTTTTTTTAATGGTGAAGACATTAAGTTTTGTCATCTAGTTAACAGTAATACACCTATGTCAATGTCCTAGTTTTAATATTACGTTACAGTTAGTTATATGAGGTGTCACATTTGGAAGAAGCTGCATGAAGGCTACACTGAATTCTGTACTATTTTTGTAACTTCCTGCAAGTTTCTATTCCAAAGTAAAGTTAAAACATAGTTGATGGGCATAAAGCTTCACATTAGTAACAATTAAAAATGGCTTAACTTTATTTCAACAATACATTAACTGTTTTAACTCTAATTTCTAATTAAAATTTACAAAAGCAGAGTCTTCTCTCATCTTTTGTCACTTGACAAAGTAACAGATTAATTTCTAAGTAAGTTAGGGGTTTAAAACCCTTGACACAATGTAAAAGGTGGTGTGGTCTCTTTACTATTTCACCCAATAGCAAAGGACAGTTCACCTTTATTTGGCTTGTGAGCATTAAAATGTCACAAATGAAACACTAAAAGTGAGCTTTATGACTCAGTTGTTAAAGATGAGAGGAAAACTTAAGAAATGCACTGATGTACAAAGAAAAAAAAAGTAGGAGGTAATGCTGATTCTAGTGACACTTCACATCGCTTTCTTTAGAAGCTTCAGAAGCCATAATATGACATTTCTAATATTACGTCCCTGTCCTTAAACTACAGATGCTTGCAGCAAGCTACTCTTATTACAGACTGTGAAGGTCATCTCTACCTCAACTATTGAGAGTAAAAATGGATCCATCCATTTTCATTGTCAATTCTTGCCCTGTCACTTCTGAGATTATCTTCAAAGATGCCATGACCTAAAAAACTTGAAGGGGACCGTGGAAACATTAGTAATGTTTGATATATGCAATTACACACACTTTTCTGAAGCCTCTACTGCAGAATTCACTTATGCTGAGGAGGGGATGAGTACTAATCTGAGCATATTAGCAGACAATAGTGACAGGAGCACAATAACTCCATATCCTTTGTAGTTCACTGCATGTATCCCTTTCCTAAATTGTTTCTACTCCTATTCCCATATTCTCTTATGTCCAACAAAAGAAAAGATGTGTGGGTATCACAGGCCCTGAATAAGTGGTACATAAGTTTATCAATGTTAATAAATATAATTATAGGTTTCCAGCAAACAGCAGTAATGTTTCCAAAAGAAAGTACATTTTAGATCAATGAATTATCTTCTTAAAATGTAATCTATTTCCACTCTTTTTTTTTTGAGACAGGGTTTTGCTCTGTCACCCAGGTGGCAGTGCAGTGGTGTGATCACAGCTGACTATAACCTTGACCTCCTGGGCTCAAGAAATCCTCCTGTCTTACCCTCTCAAGTAGCTGAGGTCACAGGCACATACCACCCCCGCCAAATTATTTTTTTACAGAGATGGGGTCTTGCTATGTTGCTCAGTCCAGTCTCAAAATCCTGAGCCCAAGCAATCCTCCTGCTTTGGCCACCCAAAGTGCTGGGGTTACAGGTGTGAGCCACCGTGCCAAGCCCCCAGACACTTTTATTGTGTGTGTGTGTTCAAGTAGTAATGCATATATCTGTGTAGCACTTTTTAGAACAATCAGATGGTTTGCAATGAGTATGTATTTCTTTGACAACTAGAGATATTTTTTAAAAGTAAGATAATTTTTTAAAAACATGAAATGATTGAGTGGTGGCAAGCAAAAAATACTGGATTATTACCTTTGTCTTTTCATGCCTGGCTTCATTTGCTGTGAAAGTAGGTTGATGGGTTTAAGAACATTATTATGCTGAATACTCTGCCTGATGGTTTCTACTAAAGTGCTTGTTGCTTGTTGTTCCTCTGACAGGAGAGATGATTTCTTTTCAGAATCTAACAATAAGAACACAGTTTTTTTTCAATTATTACTACTATTATCTTTTTTTTTTTTTTTTTGAGACAACGTCTCACTCTGTTACCCAGGCTGGTACGCAGTGGTGTGACCATGGCTCACTGCAACCTTCATCTCCCGGGCTCAAGTGATCCTTCCACCTCAATCTCTCAAATAGCTGGGACTACAGGTGTATGCCACCAGCTAATTTTTGTATTTTTTGTAGAGACAGGGTCTCACCAGGTTGCCCAGGTTGGTCTCAAACTCCTGGGCTCACGCAATCTGCCTCCCAAAGTGCTGGGGTTACAGGCGTGAGCCACTGTGCCCAGTCCCAATTATTTAAAAAGTTTTTTTTCCAGAGTTTTGGCATTTTCTCCTTGCTTAACCAATATCACCTCCCCAATACTAGTAACATTATGTGGCAATGTGCCCAACTAAAAAATATTTTTCCTGCTCTCTTCAAACAGGCAGACCTGTCACTCTGCCTTTCTCTTCTAATATATGGTGGCTTACTGCGTGAGGCTGGGATGTGATAGCTTGTACTCCAGCAGCCATCCTGTGACCATGAAGCAATCTTTACTGATAGTAAAGCAGGTACAACAGAAGGAACCTGGGTCCCTGATGACAGAGCAGTTGTCTCGCAGTACTAGACTGTCTAGTACATAACTTCTTTTCTTTTTTAAAAATGTATTTACTTATTTTTTGGAGACAGGATCTCATTCTGTTGCCAAGGCTGGAATACAGTGGCTGAATGTTGTAACCTTCAACTCCTGGGCTCAAGCAGTCCTCCCTGCTCAGCCTCCCAAATAGCTAGGACTACAGGCATGCACCACCACAGTTGGCTAATTTATTTTATTTTTGTAGAGATAGGGTCTTGCTGTGTTGCCCAGGCTAGTCTTGAACTCGGCCTCAAGCAGTCTTCCTGCCTCAGCCTCCCTAATCACTGGAATTACAAGCATGAGCCACCATGTCTGGCCTTATTTTTAATCGATAAGTAAAAATTGTATTTACTTATGGAGTACAACATGATGTAATTCAAAACTTGACAGTTTTTCTCTGTCACCCAGGCTGAAGTGAAGTGGTACAATCACAGCTCACTGCAGCCTTGACATCCTGGCCTCAAGGAATCCTCCCGCTTCAGCCTCAAGTAGCTAAGACCACAGGCGCATGCCACCACATCTAGCTAATTTTTTATTTTTATTTTTTGTAGAGAGATGGGCTCCCACTATGTTGCCCAGCCTAGTCTCAAACTCCTGGTCCCAAGTGATCCTCCCACCTTGGCCTCCAAAAGTGCTAGCCTGATTTGCCTACCCTAGTAACTTCATATGAGAGAATAATCTTTACCTGTTTTGGCCTCTGTTATTTTCTGTTAAATATAGCAGAGTCTAGTGCTAATTAGAAGGAACGTAATTAGTCCGGGCGCAGTGGCTCATGCCTGTAATCCCAGCACTTTGGGAGGCTGAGGCAGGCGGATTGTATTTTTCATTATACATTTCATTATGTTGTATTTTTCAAATAACACAGGCCCTAAATAAAAGCAACCGGTAATAGTTCATTTGTGTTAAACCAAAAAAAAAAAAAAAAAAAGGCAAAGTCCTCTGTTATGATAACAACAGGAAATACTGGCTGCTATGAGTTTTCATCCTAGGTCTTCCACCTGCTAAATGATAGACTTTGAATAGTATTAATCTTCAGGCTATACTGAGATAAGTCTCAAACCAAACATTACACCCATTTAAGTACATAATTCAATGGTTTTTAGTATATTCATGAAGTTGTACAACCATCATCACTATCAATTTTAGAACATGTTCATATCCCAGAAAGAAATCCCACCCCAACCCCCTCTAGGCAACCACTAATCTACTTTCTGTCTATACATTTGCCTATTCTGGATATTTCATATAAATTGAATAATACAATCTATGCTCCTTCACAACTGGTTTCTCTTCTAGAATGGTTTCAAGATTCATCTGTGTTGTACATGTATCAGTACTTCATTGCTTTATGTTGCCAAATGAAATTCCATTGTATGGATATACCATACTTTATCAATTCATAATTTTTTTTTTCTTGTTTTTGAGATGGAGTCTCACTCTGTTGCCCAGGCTGGAGTGCAGCAGCACAATCTCAGCTCACTGCAACCTCTGCCTCTGTGGGTTCAAGTGATTCTCCTGCCTCATCCTCCCAAGTGGCTGGGACTACAGGCATATGCCACCATGCCCAGCTAATTTTTGTATTTCTTTTAGTAGAGACAGGGTTTTTCCATGTTGGCCAAGTTGGTCTCGAACTCCTGACCTCAAGTGATCTGCCGGCCTCAGCCTCCTAAAGTGCTGGGATTACAGGCGTGCACCACTGTGCTCAGCCCTCAATTCATAGATTGATCGACATTTGTTTCCGTATTTTTGGCTATGATACAAATGCTATTATGAACATCCCTGTGCAAATTTTCATGTGGACATCATTTCTCTTTGGTATATATATGAGTGTAACTGCTGTGTCATATGGTAACTCATATGGTTTGCCATTTTGAGGAGCTGTGAAACTGTCTTCCAAAGAAGCTACACAATTTTATATTCTAATCGACAGTGTCTGAGGGTTCCACTTTCTCCACATCTTCACTAACTCGTTGTTATGTTTTTGATTATAGCCATCCTAGTAAGTATGAAGTGATATTTCCTTGTGGTTTTGACTTGCATATCCTTGATAGCTACTGAGCATTTTTCATGTGCTTTTGGCCATTTTAACATTTTATCTGAAGAACTACTGATTTACAGCCTTTCCTCGTTTTAAAAATGCGTTGCCTTTTTATTACTGAGTTGTAAGAGTACATAGTCTGGGTACAAATCCTTTTTAAGATATGATTTGCAAGTATTTCCTCCCATTCTGTCGACTGACCTTTCACTTTTTTGAAGGTTTAAATTTCAGAATATTTTTCTTTGCACTAAGTCCAACTTATCTACTTTTTCTTTTGTTGACTGTGCTTTTGTTGCTTTTTTTGAAGGCCTTGCCTAACACACACAGAGTCATGAAGATTTACTCCTATGTTTTTTTCTAAGTGCTTTATAGTTTTGGCTCTTAAATTTAGGTCTATGATCCATTTTTAGTTCATTCCTATGTATGATTTGAGAAATTATCCAATTTCATTCTTTTTATTATTGCTAGCCTGTGGTCCCAGCATATGTGTTGAAGAGACTATTCTCTTTTTTCTTTTTTTTGAGATGGAGTCTCGTTCTGTCGCCCAGGCTGGAGTGCAGTGGCGCAATCTCGGCTCACTGCAAGCTCCACCTCCTGGGTTCATGCCATTCTCCTGCCTCAGCCTCCCGATTAGCTGGGACTACAGGCGCCCACCACCATGCCTGCCTAATTTTTTTGTATTCTTTTTAGTAAAGAAAGGGTTTCACCATGTTAGGCAGGATGGTTTCGATCTCCTGACCTTGTGATCTGCCCGCCTTGGCCTCCCAAAGTGGTGGGATTACAGGCGTGAGCCACCACGCCTGGCCGAAAAGACTATTCTTTATTACATGGTCTTCACATTGAAAGGCAACTGACCATACATACATATGAGGGTTTATTTCTGGAACTTCAGCTCTATTCCATCGACCTATATGTCTATTTTTACACCAGAATTTTACTTTCTTGATTACTGTAGCTTTGCAGTAAGTTTTCAAATTGAGAACTGTGAGTCCTATAACTGTTCTTTTTAAAGATTGTTTTGGTGATTCTGAGTCCCTTGAACATTCATATGAATTTCAGCCGGGCGCGGTGGCTCAAGCCTGTAATCCCAGCACTTTGGGAGGCCGAGACGGGCGGATCACGAGGTCAGGAGATCGAGACCATCCTGGCTAACACGGTGAAACCCCGTCTCTACTAAAAAAATACAAAAAACTAGCCGGGCGAGGTGGTGGGCGCCTGTAGTCCCAGCTACTCGGGAGGCTGAGGCAGGAGAATGGGCGTAAACCAGGGAGGCGGAGCTTGCAGTGAGCTGAGATCCGGCCACTGCACTCCAGCCTGGGCGACAGAGCGAGACTCCGTCTCAAAAAAAAAAAAAAAAATGAATTTCAAGATTCACTTGTCAATTTATGTAAAGAAGCTATCTGAAATTTTGATAGAGATTGCGTTCAATCTGTAGATCAATTTAGGACTAATTCCATCTTAATATTAACTTTTCCAGTCCATAAACATGGGATTTCTTTCCATTTACTTATTCTTTAATTTCTTTCAACAATTATTTAAGTTTTTGGAGTCTAAGGTTTTGCATTTCTTTGGTTCAATTTATCCATAAGTATTCTGTTCTAGTGCTTTTATAAATAAATAAAATTGTTTTCTTAGTTTCATTTTGAATTATTTATTCAAAGATATAGAAGTGGTTGATTTCTCTATATTGCTCTTATAGCCTGGAACCTTGTGGAACTTACGCAGTTCTAATATGGTGTGTATAATAATATGTTGGATGTGTGTCTATTCCTTAGAATTTTCTATATATTATATATATAGAAAAAATATATATCATTTATCATATAATCTGCAAATATAGATACATTTACTTTTTTCCTTTCCAGTTTGGATGGCTTTTCTTTTCTTGACTAATTACTCTAGCTAGAACCTCTGGTAGAATGTTAAATAAAAATGGCACAAGTGGGCATCCTTGTCTTACTCTTGTACTTAGTGAGAAAGTATGTTAAGAATATGTTATCAACTGTAGATTTTCATAGATGCCCATTACCAGGCGGAGGAAGATCTTCTCTATTCCCAGCTTGAAGAGTGTTTTAAACAAAGGGTGATGGATTTTGTCAAATGATTTGGCTGTGCCTACTGAGATGATCATGTGAATTTTGTCCTTTACTCTATCGATAGATATAGTGTATTACACAATTGATTTTCAAATGTTAAACCAAAATTGCATGCTTGAGATAAATCCCACTTGGTCATGGTATAAAATCATTTTTTATATTGCTGTATTTGATCTGCTAGTATTCTATTCAAGATTTTTATGTCTATA